GAGTTTTTGTGATGCAACTCTCGTAAAATAACACAAACCATTAAGGTTTTTTTATTCATTTTATGGCTTAGGTGTATACACCTAATATGCCAGTCTCAGTTTGTGTTTGATTTTCGTTCGTGTGTATTCTGTGTAGGCTTTGTTACTGTTTTCCAGCGCCAATGGCCCTTCAGCTCGGTTTAAAATAAAGTAAAAAGTCGGTATATTTAACCAAGTTAGGGAATTGTGTGATCGGCTGTTGATGAGATTCTCAGCTTGAGATTAATTAAAAAGGATATTTTATTTTTCAGTAATAATATAAAGTGAGTTTTGTTTCATTTTATTTTTTTTTTATCAGATCTACTTATTTTTTTTATACTTGGTAAAGGCACTAAAAATCCAGTCATAAACAATACACTGAGAAAAGAGCTCACATTTTCAGTTAATTATACAGTTGGATCCATATGGGAATTTATTAACATTAACATTATTGAAAAAAAAAACATTCTAGGACATGCAACTTTAATTTTTTAAATGCTTAAAATAGTCCATATTAAAGTTGTCTAGATACTGCATTAGTTGTTGGTCAAATTCAGTATTTTTTTAAATCGTTATAATTTTTGTTTTTGACATACATCTAATGTCAATATCAATAGCCTACTTTGATATGGGGTATTTTAAGTTTTTAAATAAGCAGAGGCGATTGACCTACGAAGTTTTTTTTTTTTCAAATCATAATATTAAAAAAATCCTATATGGATCCAACTTTAAAGCTTTAACTCATATTCATTTGAAATCGAATTAGTTTAGTTACTGAAAGAGAGCTAAGAGCCTCTGTACTTCTAAGTTGGTGCTTATATATTTCTACAGTTATCTATCTAAAAGCAATGACACATTAATCTATTTCAGAACACTTTTCTGAAAATAACTTGTGTTAAGAAAATCCATAATGAAATATGTGTGCCAATAATCAACCGTTTTCTTTTTTATCATCTCATTAATATCTAGCTAACCGAAACTTTTTAATATAATAGGTACCTATAATTCTGCGTCGAGAAACTTCCCTAACTTTCAAATTAGACTGATTTATAAGGTCGTCATCGTCAATTTTTAGCAACTTTTGTGAAACTGCAAGAAACTCACTTTTATACGTATGTGATGTGAAAACAGCCACTCTACGTGAAAAACTCGTAGAATAAAAGTTGTTAAGCATTAAATTTTGCATTTAGTGAGCATCGAAATTTTAAATTTGGATTAGTTTATACGCATAGGTACCAAGTTTCGCAAACTTTTGTGTAAACTGCAATAAACTCACTTTTAGACGACTGTGATTTTAAAACAACCACTGTACGTAAAAAAACTATCCCAATTTTTCACAAATCGCAGTCTGCAGTGAAACAAAATCTTGCCAAGCACATAATGTTTCTGCACGCGATGAGTATATGCGACTCGACGTCATCTTTATAACCAAGACAAGACTAAATACTTGATGACTCTCTCTAAATATACAGACCTTGAAAAGACCGTTGAGAAATTATTGGATCCGTCAGCCCAGCCAACGGCAATTGCTGTTGCTAGAGAAAAATTTTTGGTGGCCCTGTACGGGGCTAACCATCTAACAACTTCCTTGAATGCCTTTCAGTTTTCCAGCAACATTGCATATATCCCTCCCACCGATGCTGCAGCCTACCAGCATGGCTTGCGTGTATATTTTCAAGGGCAGCAGTGGCTCGGCAACAGTTTGGATCCGAAGCTGAGGGGTTGGAAGTCAACCAACAATGGTCTGATTCCACTTACCACTTTAAAACCCCGGCTCCTGACAAACTAATGCAGCAAATATCATACAAATGGCGCATTGACTGTGGTGGGCGTTGTGAATGCAGGCACGTAGGTCTGTTCTGCACCTAAGTCTGCATCAACTGCGCCGATTTCTGCACCAATGTGGACGAAAGAACCAACCACGTTGAGCAAGAAGACGACCCTCCGTTTGCTGCACCACGTTCAAAGGCAGGTGAAACTTCAAAAGACTTACTTGCTCTTCTTTCCAGTTGATTACATGGTCTTCCCACGATTTTTCCTCAAATACATAATGAGAAGTTACTTCTTTTATCTTTTAACTCTAAATATAATAAATGAGTAAATAGTTTTTTGTAAATGGGTACTTATTACATCAACATAATACTCATAAATCCATAAAGTCGACTTGCTATAACAGGAGGGGAAAGTAATTTAGGGTTGGGAATGAAGTTTGAAAGAGATAGCGGGGGAGTTGGTACCTCAATTTACGGTTGGGAAAAGGGGTTTAAGAGGTGAGGGGTTCATATTGACAGCGCAGAGTTGTTATTATTGAACTCCTGCATATTGGTCAAATAAGCGTTTAGAGGGAAAATGGAGAAATGATCAGCACATACGTATATACTGATACAAATTTAAAATGTCGGTGCTCACTAAATGCAAAATTTGATGCTTTACAACTTTTGTCCTTCAAGTTTTTCAGGTAGAGTGGCTGTTTTTATATCACATATCTCTAAAAGTGAGTTTCTTGATTTTTTCGCAAAAGTTGTTAAAAATTGGCTTTTTTTCGACTGACGATAGCGACCTTATAAATCGCTTTAATTTAAAAGTTATGGAAGTTTTTGACGCAAAATTTTATGCTCTTTAATTTTGAAAAGAACGATATTTTCCGTACGATGCATCTTTTCCATGATATGAGCGGAAAACCAGAAAAACTCCAAAAATTTCGAGGAAAAAGTTTCTACCGCTTTCATGTTACCAAAAAACTACCTATTGATTAGGCTAAGTAGCATTTTAAGAACGAGAAACTTTAAAAAACTGATTGAAAAAAACTTGATAAGCCAAAGGGGTTTGTCAAAGTTTTGTTCCTAATCTTAACCTATAAATTATTTATTTCGCTCGCTCACGAATAATAAAATGCATATTGTCACTGTTCACCTATTACAAAACACAAAAACTAAAAAATCGGTGTAGCCACAACATAATCCACTTATCATGGCGGCCAGCATGAAGGGGGTCATTTTATTGTATTAACAGTATACCCATAGCGGTATCTATACTTTCTGAAAGCTATGCATTTCCTCCCTCCCTCTTCTGGATCGGTTTTAAGCAATTTTTGATATTGTCTTTTGTTTAGAAGAGAATGTCTATTGTAAGTTTTTAAATTGACGCCCCTTATGATTTAGTCAAATAGAAATGACCTTTCTACTTGATTAATTTAATTAATTCCTAAGATCCCGTATTTTCCATGAAAAAATATTATTTCCACTTCAGTTGTCAACGATTCACAATCTGCAAGAAAAAATCTTGACGATACAGATATGATCGAAGTATTGGAAAAATGTTACAATGTTCTACAAGGTCGCAGAGGATCCACAATATCAAATTCTTCAACCAAAACCATAACTTCTACAGCTAACACAGGATTTCTTCTAACCAAACACATAAGAAGATATACGTTTGATTCTGTTAAATTTAGATTAACAAAACTGGATCATAATTTGTATGATATAATTTGGCCATGTGTGAAAAAACTTCCTTCAGACTTAAGTTTCAGAGTTGCTTTGGAACAGGATTTTCCTATAGGCTTGGTAGCTCCAGATATCTACTCCTACAAAGTATTTCAAGAGTTTTTAGAACCAATTCTTAAAGATTATAATCATTTAGATATACATCATGATTTACCAGATCAACCGATCAGTCAGTTTATTGAAAATGATGTAGACCTTGATGTAGATCCTGCAGGAAACTTTGTAATATCTGGATCACTGGAAGCTACTAGAAATGTACTAGATATTGAATTACCTAAATCTTTAAATCATGCCCAACTAGAAATTGTAGAACGCATAGTAACTAGTGTGCTTATGAGTAAAGAAGTAGCTAAAGCTCTTTATCCTCATACACCAGATGAAGATATTGAAGAAAAGGGTAACGGAACTTATTATACCATGAATGAAGTTTTGGAAGACCCATCTGAAGCCCGAATAACTCTGGCAAGTAATGGGTTACTTATACCCTTATGGAACTTACCAGATTCTGATAGACTCCATGGAAAATATTGGCCTTATGGGAGAGGAGTATTTGTGAATAATAGTGCTAGTTTAGCAGTATGGATTAATGTTTTAGACCATATTAGAATAATTACTTGTACTGATCATAGCAATCCTGGTAACGTTTCACAGATATTTTCAAGAATGGCAAGAGTTATTAAAGTTTTAAATGATAAATTAGATTTTATTTTTGATGAAAAATTGGGATTCCTTTCAGCAAGACCTTCAGCTATTGGAAATACATTAAATTTCAGTTTAACTTTAAAATTTCCTCATTTAATCAAGGAACCCGATAATTTAAAACATTTATGTATTGTTAGAGGATTGACGTACCATAGGAATACTAGTACTACTGATGTCATACGCATAGGAAACCAGCAATGTCTTGGCATAACTGAGTTACAGACCTATGAAAATTTTACAACAGCTGTTATTAATATTTTGCAATTAGAAAAAGATCTATCAATGTCAAATTCAATGCACATAGCAGCTATGTTTCTAAATGTATTTAAGAAAAAGAAACTCGCAGCAAGTGCCTAAATTATTTGTAAGTAATTATTTTTCTATATTTATGGTTCTACTACTATGTATATATCTATCCAATTTTGTAAATAGTGCCAAAAATATTTCACATTGTTTTTTCTCTATGATATCTAAACGACACTGATAAGGATGGAATTTAAAATAGGTCAGTAAGATGATTAAAAAACTCAAAATTTCACCTTTATTTTATTAACCTTTCAGCAGAATGTTTGTACAGTGTCTACCAAGCACATGACTAGCAGCACAACTAAATGTATTTTTCAAAAAAAGTGTGATGTTCGTCTTTTGTGTGAGTTAGCTAAAGCTTCAATAAAAAAACGTTTGTAATCAATCACAGCAACATTTCTATCACTTTAAAAAATATTGAAAAAAATATCGAGGAACCCTTTCAAGATTATTTCTCCTTGGTTTCAGATAAATTGACTGCTGAAAATGGACAAGTTGATATGCCTTTTTTTGCTACTGAGGAGGGGCGTTATCTAGCATCATGTAAGTATGTAGAGTCAAGCAGGGATTTCGCATTAAATGAATCATAATAATATATCGTTTACGTCAGTGGTTCCCATCATTATGTCCGCGAGTATTACGGCTCTTGCGCGAGGATAAATATAACAGGGTGTTTCATAATATATGCGCAGGGCTTCAGGACGTGATAGCTCGTCCAAAAATATGAAAAAATGTTTCTATTAACTTACCCTCTAAAATGCACCATTTACGAGATACAGGGAGTTGACATTGAAAAAAAAAAAACATTCTACGCCACTGGAAAAAGTACGGTTTTAAGACGTCCATTTAAACCGCCAATGTTTTCTACACAAAAAAGGTACTCTTGGTCATACGCTCTAAAGTCGACCGTTTTCGAGAAAAATCAAATTTTATTTCATCAAGTAGGTTTTAAATTTCAAAACAAAAGCTACCTCCTGTCAAACAATTAGTTTGTGCCTGCAAAAGATAAATTTGTATTATAAAATTCTAAATGAATTACACAAACGCTGAAATGTGCGAAATGCATTACCTTTACGGATTGGCGGAAGGTAATACGGCAGAAGCAAGGCGGTTGTATCAAGAAAGACATCCTGATCGCCAAGTACCACACCATAACTTGTTTCAACGCATTCACCAACGACTATGGGAAAATGGAAGTTTTAAAAAGAATACTGCTGATAGTGGGCGGCCTATGGAAGTTGCAATTTCCCAAGAAGAGGCTGTCCTCAACGAAATTGAAGAAAATCCGACCACAAGTACCAGAGAAATAGCTCACAACTTAAACTTATCTCACTCGACGGTGTGGACAATTTTGAAAAGACAACTTTTGTATCCCTATCATATCCAAAGAGTACAAGCCTTATTTCCAACAGATTTTCCGCCAAGATTGGCTTTTTGTAGATGGATGCAAGACAAAACAGCTCAAAATCCTCAGTTTGGAGCCGAAGTTCTGTTTACCGATGAAGCATCTTTCTCGAGAGATGGTATTTTTAATTTTCACGATAACCACATATGGGCTGAAGAAAATCCACATGTAATTGCAGAACGCCGTCATCAGCAACAATTTTCCGTGAATATTTGGGCTGGCATCGTCGGTGACAATTTGATAGGCCCATATTTTTTGCCGAACAGATTAGACGGTGCAGATTATCGACAATTTCTAGAAGAAGTACTGCCGGAGCTGCTGGAAGATGTACCGCTTCACGTAAGGCAAAACATGTACTTTATGCATGATGGAGCTCCGGCCTACTTTAGTTTGCTTGCTCGCCAATACTTGGACGACGGATACCAGGACCGTTGGATCGGTTGAGGAGGTCCACACCCTTGGCCCCCGTGATCTCCCGACCTTAATTGTTTGGATTTTTTCTTTTGGGGCCATCTCAAAACCCTAGTCTACGTTACTCCAGTTAAAAATGTTGACCAATTAAGAAGCGCCATTGTTGCATCTTGCTACATAATTCGGAACACTCCGGGAATTCTCCTGCGTGTTAGACAGTCAATGCGTCGAAGAATTGCTGCGTGCATTGAAGGTAACGGCGGACATTTCGAACATTTAATTTAACTGTTTATGATTTATTATTGTTTTTTTTTTAATTTTGCAATTAACGTTTGCTTTTGTTACTTGTTCTAAAGTTTAAAAATGTTGTTTCATTAGTAAGAAAAAAGTTTTATTTCCAAAAATTGACCATGTATTTCAACATTAAAATTTGATTTTTCTCGAAAACGGTTTAGAGCATATGACCAAGAGTACCTTTTTTGTGTAAGAAACATTGGCGGTTCAAATGGGCGTCTCAAAATCGTTCTTTTTCCAGTGGCGTAGAAATTTTTTTTTTTTCAATTTTAACACCCTGTATCTCGAAAATGGTGCATTTTAGAGGGTAAAATAAAAGAAACGTTTTTTTATATTTTTGGACGAGCTATCACGCCCTGAAGTCCTGCGCATATATTATGGCACACCCCCAAGGGCTTTTAGCCTTCAAGCACAACTAAACCGAAATTCTAAACAGAAATTAGTGACTTACACGGGAGGAGGCATTGAAAGCCAGATTTATATTTATTATTCTGCTGTTTCTATTCTGTTGTTTAATTATTTTTTTTATACCTTTATGGATATTAACTATTCTACGCACAGACTACAAAACAAAAAACTATGCCATTGCGTTTAACTGAAGGAATATATTTAATATCCATTCTACCCAGTGAGAACACTGCAAAAAAATCAAATTATCCAATCACAGTTCGTATTTTGGTCACCCGCCTACTATTTTTTATAAATTTTAAATATGTGACAATTCTGTCATAACTAATTTAATAGTTATTTATGTGTCAAGGGCGTAAAACAGGCGTTTATAGACCGCAACGTGTAAATAAGAATAATAATAACACGTAAGATCCATAAACGCTGTTTATGCCCGAAATACAATACACCATTTTATGCACGACCCTTTTAATAATAATTAAATAACAAATATATAAAATTTTATATACGACCGTTTAATGATCGTTTATTAATAAATAGCTATTGTTTTACTAACTAGATATAAATTTTTAAAACAAATAAAAAAAATTTTTTTTTACGATCAGTATCCAAAGTAGGCTTTTGCACATACAAATATAACTGAAAAGTTGACGTTTTACATGAATTGTCATAGTTTGACATTATTGCCGCATAAAGGCGGAAAGTTACTTTTTGCACACGTCTATTTTCATTAGAAAATTTAATTAGAAAGGTTGTTAATATAAACCTAATCGGTATTTTAAAAGAAAATGTAGACTAATCTGAAACTGAAACTCATTTTCCTTAATATTTAAATGATAATTAAAATATTAAAAATATTATTACCCTGTTTTTAACACTCATATTTAACATGTCTTGTTAGTGTAGAGCCTAGCGCGTTTGTCTTTGAATCTGATGGTTGTGAGTTCAATCCTCACCAGTTATTTATTTATTTTTTAAATTTAATTTTTTTGTTTGTAAAAATTAAATAAAACTAAAAACAGTGAATGAGCCATTATTTTGCGATTTGAGTATTCTAACCGATGATCTTGTAAGATGTACTTACTAACAAATATTTTTTATGCGTTCTAAAATTAATCCTAGAGTAAGCAGGCAAAACAATATACACAACATACTTTTCGTTTGATAGTCAAGTTAGCTGTGTCTGTCAAATTTGAATTCGGCAAAATAAAACTATATACATTTATTATCAAGTGATCGTAGAAAAAATCTTGTGTGTAATTCGAGCGGAAAGCTATTTGCCGCTTATGCTTTTTTTTCCCATGGGCTCGTCTGACTATGTGTCTCCGAATAACACTGAAGCCTATTGGCTTATTGTGTTTTACCCCATGTTAGTTCATAGCACCCACTCTGTCACCTTTGTACCTTGTACAAGTTTGTACAGATCCTTGGGTGAGTGGGTTCTATACGTTGTTGGATCAACCTGGGGTTGTTCAAAAAGAGCCTGTCTTTTGCGATCTAGAGCTTCGCATTCGCACAGTATGTGTTTGGCCGTTTCTGGTTTCTTGTGACATAGTCGGCACATGAGTTCCCCATTGTACATACCAATTTTGTTAAAGTGTCTCTTTACTGGGGCGTGCCCAGTCATGAACCCTGTTATCACTTTCAACTGGTTCCTATTCATAAAGAGTAGTTCTCCAGTTCTTTTGGGACATGGTCTGCCTATGAAGGCCTTTCCATGTCCCTGTTTTGGGGTGCTTCCCCAATAGTTGATATGCTGTTCCCGAGTCCAGTCGTTTATGAAACCCCGGACTGTACTTTTTTGGTATTCTTGGGTTTGTGTCTGGTTCCGTTATTTCTTCTGACCCTCTTTTTACAAGTTCGTCAGCCTTTTCGTTGCCTTCGATCCCTTGGTGACCTGGCACCCAAAATAGTTTTACTCTATTTCGATCTGCCAGTGTTCTTAGTTCTTCAATGCATTCCCATACCAGCCTCGACGTAACTTTCTGACTCGATATGGCCTTAAGTACCGCTTGGCTGTCTGACATTATTTGAGTATGCTGATTTTCGACAGCTCTTTCACCCAGACAGCACACTATATCCCTGGCATATGCCACCAATCTGCCTATTTGCCAAAATATATTGCAATATTTATGGAATATTCACAGAATATATTTTATATTCTACATTCTAGAATGATATTCCAGGCATATGTATTTTTAATATGCTCTGCATATTCATTTTTCATATTGTATGGATATCTCTGTAGAATATTATATTATATTTAACTATTTTGTTTTATTATTTATAAGTACAAATGAAGCCATAGTTAAAAGGATCATCCTTGTTTAGTTTATAAAGACTTAAATTAAACAAAAACGTGGACTTAGAACTCCCGAATGTAACTTTAAATCATGCCAACTTATTTTCAATTAATAAAAAAAATCAAACCTCCGAGATCAAATTATCTTTCTCTTCATAAATAAAATAAGTATGTATAGTTTTCCTATAATGTAGGAAAGAAAAGGACAAAATAATGATTCTAACAGTCAAAAGTATGCGCCTAGTACGTATTTGTAGTTGGTAGTAAAAATTACCTAATAGTGCCTTATTGAGGAATATTTTTTATTATTAATACCCTGGTCAAATACTCTAAACGGTGAAGGCCACTAATGAAAAAAAAAAGAGGAAGAATATGACACATAACCAAACATTGTCAAATTTGCTAGAGACGTGCCACTTGATGGAGTTTTAGTTTTTTTTTTTTCACCTAAGGGGTAAGTCTGATTAATTATAATATATAGTATCAGTGTGGTGCTTAAAATCATAAATATTTTATAAGAAGTGTAAATCAATTGGTAGACGAGACTTTTTTGTTATCAAATAATGATAGCATTAGATTCAGATGAATTTAAAATGTAAGCTTCTTACTGAATCTTCCGAGGAAATACCATTATTCTTTTTATCAGGAAAAAATTCGTGTAAAATTCAAGAATTTGAGTTTATTTGAACAGCTCTCTTTTTATAGGATAATATTAATTCAAAG